AACGCTCGGAAACTAAATTAAGTGAGGAACTTCGAGTGATTGATGCGAATCGCCTAAATAATACAATAGCCAGGCACTGGTTTTGTTGGGCTGTTCGTAACAAAAGTGTCTGCAAATCCATTAATGTTATAATGGCACATATTTTTGCTTAGCTGGAAAACAAAGCACCAACGCCACGTACTGAAAGTACTGGGAGCTAAAGGATTTTTAGAATTTTTGATTTTTGTGCGGACACACAGGAGCAGAAAATACACACGAATCAAACAAGGTATGGACGCCAAGCCAAAGAATGCGCGGAGAAACTAAAAAATTGCCCATGAGTTGAGCCAGAAACTCAAAGAAACTAGTGGATATCAGAAAACCAAATAGAGATCTTTGGAGTATCAGAAGAATGTATGTTTAAACACTTGTTTTAGGAAATCTAGAGGTGATCCATCAGGATATTTTGATGGCCCAAATAGAGAAAGCGCTTGTTTACATAGCAGCAACATCAATATGCCAGTCTAGATGTCTAGCGAAAAGCCTGTTTAGGAAATTCCCCCCGGAAACTTTTATATCATGGTCTCATAAATAGTACTAAGCCTTTTCTGGCACTTAGCAGTAAAAATGCAGCAGCTTATAACTTAACTCTGACACAAATACCTTGCCTGCAAATACTTTCTTTCCCCCGGTCTTAGATAAAGCGGAAGTCGTATATTTTTACTTATTTTCGTGGTATGTTTGAAAATGCAAAGAATGATGAATGGTCCCGAGTATTTACAAGGTATAACACCAGGATTATTTACGAGAAAACAGCGACATTTATTCATCACAAAGACATTAATAAATAGACCAAGCTAGTCATTCATAAATCCCGATTTGTTTGGTTCCAACATTAAATTCTATCGATCGGTGATTTATCAATGAAAAACAGGTGGTAGGGTTTATAGACAGTATTTAATATTTATTTTATTGTTCTACCTTCATATCTTCATTACATGCTTGAAGTTTGACACAACCATTACATTGAAAAACTATTTGAAAAATTGGAACCCGTGGAAATGATTATTTCTTTTAATTGTCGCCTATGTTAATTGAAAATTATACTATGAAGCAAATAGGCAAAAAGGGGGTATTCGACTGTATAAATAATGCAAAAATTAATTGAAACTTTTCAATAATAATAAATTTAAGATATAATAATAACAGGAAAACAACAAAAATAAACAACAGAAAAATATTTTTTTAGATTTTTGAAGGTTTTTTACCATTTGATTTCCCTATGATGAAATCAATTGCATATATTGCAATATTTGCAATTTTGCAAATTAATTTTTATTTTCGGGTATATTTTTATTGTTCAAATAAGCTCCAGCAGACAGTCCCTACCAACTCGAAAATATTTTCATGAAGTGTGGTGTGATTTACGTATTCTAACAAAAGTACAACAAACTTTATTTACGATGTTAATATTTTTAGGTTTTGATTGGGCTTCTAAAACTTTAACCGCCACACACATTAGACAAGTCAGTTCAAAATCAATTGTTAATAATGAATTAATAATTCTTTGCAAGCACCGAGTAGTCTTATTATTTACGTATTAACTTTTTTCAGGACTCTCGCAATTGGTCCTATTGGAAAAATAATAAGTAAAGTGCATACCTACTGTAAACTTTTCAGCGGTATGAATTTAGTAATTGGGGTTTTATTGCTTCATAAAATGTGCACAAAAACCATATATATGTTTCCTTATTAACTTATACTACAACTCAGAGATAACGGTTAGTAACTATTAGAACAATTTA